AGCAAGCATAGTACGATATATGAGGCAGGGGGGGGTGAGAAAAGTTATCCTGGGGATGAACCGTTCACTCTCATCTGTGATATCCTCTTTTTTTTCTCGCCATTAGTAGTAGTACTGAATACATAAAAAATAACTTTTAAATAAGATCTGTTAAAATAAATATTCTTCCATTTTATTTATGTAGTTCATATTTTCTCTTTGTTAAATATACACTTTTAAAATCGAGTCTGTATTATGAATTTTCTGTTTTTTTTTGCAATTGCATTTTTAAAAATATTTTCTAGTGCAGCTAGATGTGTCGTACTTTGACTATTTTAATGCGTAGAAATATGGCCACAATTTGTGTAGCCTTGTTAACGTTCAATGTTATATAGGTATTTTGACTGTTTTCCAGTTCCAATCGGTATATTTTAAAACGATATGATTGAACTTACACTTTCTGCTATTTTCTTTTCCGCTTAGCTGCCACTTATTTATAAAAAGATTTGTTTCTTTTTATAAACTGAATAGGCGTGGTCGAGTAGGTAAAGCTCATGGTTACTAAACCGGAAAGTCTCGAGTTCGAACCCTCGGGTAGATGAGGCTCGTTAGCTGGGGACAGCCATTCTTCTAGGAGAGACAACTCTAAAATCAAACAACTGCTGCTTTGTAGTTTGTTCTTGGTTGGACAAAGGCTATGAAAGCAAATCCAAAAAGAAAAGCAGGCTGAAATCGGAGTTAATGGCGCATAGCCAGTTGACACGTATCCTTAATTGCGATGGAGGCGTGGTCGAGTCGGCCAAAGCTCATGGTTGATAAATTCGAAAAAAAAAGTCTCGAGTTTAAACCCTCTGGCAGATAAGACTCGATCCCTTCGAACACTAACAATTAAGAACGAAGAAGAAGACATAAACTGATTCTACATCCGGAGCCCTTAACCCAATCTCAACAAAGTAACTACTTTAGTTTTCTATATGGTGATTTCTCTGGTAATAATAAAAAAAGCAGTTTGAAACATCAAAATCAAAACTTTGGAAAAGACAAAAGTTATATTATAATTTGATTTAGACATTTGAGTTTTATACAATTTTCACAAAGAAGATTTAAACAGAAAAATGCTAATTTAAGTTATACAAACGTTGTTTCCAAGTAAGTGGTCATCCATTTGTGACGTCCGTACACAGGGGAGGAATGGGGTTTAAAAAATCGACTTTTGTGGACGCGTATGGACTGGGGGAGGGGTGGATTCTTGTCGATGTGGTAGTCTAAATGTTGAATTTAACAGTGAAGTGCTTACATTTTAAAACCAACTCGTATCATGCATGTAAGACGAGAGTGCTCGTGTTTAAAAACAAAAGCTATCGAAACTTGTAAATAAAGCACTGGATTTATACCTACACTAATAATCACTACAAACCAAGACCGAACGCCTAAAATTATGTCAAGTCAAAACTCAGCCTACTACACATCTCAAAACTGTATTTAAAAAAGAAATGAAAACATTTTCCTCCCTAAAATATTCACTGAGCATGGTTAATGTTGAAAAGGCTTAGATTGATTTTTATTGAATTTAAATACAAAATTAACCACGCGAAACAACGGCAAATTTGGTTTCTAACAGAGTATGACGTCATTTATGGACGAACCCTAAAAAATTAATTAACAGAAATAGAAATCATGAACCCGAGGAATCTTATTAACCTTATGGGCCAAAATGCTAATATAATTTTTTTAAGATGCATTCAATGATTACAGAGAAGGATAAAATTATCACCCCCACCAACCCACCAGCACATAAGCTATGTATAGTCTACTTGCGTTTTGGGTTGGTAATGGTAGAAATCCTTGAAGAAAAATTATTAATACTTTGACGTTTAAAAAAAACTATTTTTCTCTCAACTCTCTAGATTCGACTTTTAATGCCTAGGCCTAAATATTAAAGCCCTTTATAAGTAAGTAGGTGCACAATACATGATGGAATAGTGGTAGTACATGTATATTAAATTTGTGTCGGCGTCCACACGGGGAGGAGGGGAGTAGGGGGTTCTAAAATCCAAAATTGTTGTGCACGTCATAAATGGATGACCCCGAATACTAAAAAAAACACACACCAAGATAAGTGATTTTTTATAATAATACCCTATAGCCTTTTGGGGTCATATAATAACTACGTCAAGATTATTTGACGATTTTTATGTTTCCCCTCCCCTCTCCAAGTCACATATCGTCTCAAAAAGCCAGAATTTAATTGAAAAAGACATCACACCTCAGACAAGTTTTTGTCTTTTAAAAACACAGATTTTGGCTGAGCATGGGTCTAACCACACTATCCTTTCATATGGTGAGGTCACAGAAACATATGAACTTACTTCACAAGCTCTGTGTCCTGCCAAGTTCCGTAAGCACCTTTATCTTTCACATCTAAAAAGTAGCCACACCTCAGCATACATAGCTTACATATTTTTTTCTTTTGAAAACATCGTTTTCTTTCTTTAATATTTTCTGAACTCGAACCTCATATGAATAATGAGTGAATAAAATATTAAAGCTAACGTCAAACTAATAATAAAAATGTACTAGAACCAATCGCGTTTGTTTTGATTTCGCACCATGCATATTCTTTGAGGGAAAATTAAAACTTAATTAAAAATTTTACATTCACATTGTGTTTCGAGCCCGTACCGCATACATTTTGTCTATTACACTATCATCTTGGCCAGCTAAGCACACAGCATTTAGGTGAAAATATAGTGCGTTATTTTAGTTAAACCAGTGTTATAAAATAAAGCGAATATTATATTGAATCTATAATATAATGCTTAATGTGTCTGTCAGTCCGTCCGTTATTCCTTCATCGCTTAAGATTCTAGAACCATAAAACGAAATAACAACACATGCATTTTTCTTGCCTCGCATTATTTTTTTTATTGTTTTTTTAAGTAATGGAGAAGGGTCTATTTATGAAACGACTTACATATTTTGATTGTTGGCAAAGTATTAACTCTTTTGCATACGTCAAAAATAGAACGTGAAAAAATATATAATACACGCACATTGCTAAAACGTATTAAGCGGATCAATGTCAAATAATATTTTCCCTTATATGCTTAGAAAAAAATGGATTAATTTTTGTAAAGTAGTGTCCAATAAAACTAGTCAATTACAAAATTTAATAATTATGCCAGGAAAGGTAATTTAAAAAGAAATTCAACTCACGCTAAATATTGCTATTAAAGTAAATAAGTTAACAAAATGTTTTATTCCTACTGCATTGATTATTATATATTAAAGCTCATAATTAAGATAGATTAATGTCAAAATTATTTATATCATTTTCTAATTAGTGTGCAAAGTGTTTTATGATATTTTTAAAAATGTATATGATCTCTTTAGAATCAATATTTGTTGATTTTAAAATTGATTTAAAGCCTCTATCAGGGCGCAGATGTCAGTGAAAGCGTAATTTGATAAAGTGTTTGAGTTTGTGTTTAAGTTTGAGCTTGCGTTTGCGTTTCTTAGCGTTTGTGATTTCTTTTTGGTTTTTGTATTTCTGTTTGCATTTGGGGTTGAGTTTAACGTGTTGTGTTTCTATTTGACTTTGAGTCTCTGTTTGTGTTTGTATTTGCATTTACATTTGAAGTTTGCAAAAAAAAACTATATAGAATCTACAGACTGACGAAAAATGTCTTAATTTTTATTTATTGGTAGCTCTAGATAAATTCCATGTGCTCTTAAATTGGATGATTTGTAAATCTAAATAGCAAAAATGATACACAATATTTAAAGAATAAAATAGCTTAATATAAAAACTCAGTTATTTATTGTATTTTATACTTGTTTTTCTTTAACTAATTAATTTTGGTTTGGCCTTAAGAATAAGTTGTGTTTTATTACAAGTCCCTGTTAAAAAGAAATAGTGAAAGTAAAGTATTTGTTCTGAAATTTTATAATGAAAAGTGTGTTTCTACAAATGAATATATCAATAAATTAACTATCATCTTTAAATAAATGTGTGTATAACATTTAAAAAAACAAACATTTAGCTCTACATAAGTACGTATTTAGAATTCTATACATTGTGCAGATGCTCGCATCTTTTGGAACAGACAAACAAAGAAAAAGATACATTTAAAAGCTTGTAAACAACTCAAGTTTTTGTAATATGTAGATTAGATAGATAGACAAGCACTAATTACGGATGCATGCACAAGCAAGCAATTTACTTATTTATTATAAGCTAACTAGTTTTTATCAAGGAATTATATAAATATTTAAATCAGGTTAAATTGGTGCACCACATTTTTTTTTACATTAGTCCCATCAAAATATAGATTTTAATTTTAAATACATTCTTCATAATATTTCAATAATGTTAGTAATGGGTGATGTTTGAAGATCTCCGCTTTTGATAGCCTGGCAACAAGAATCCAATCAAAGCAATTTATGGCTTTTTTTGTTGTAGGAACTGTCAAAAATATTATGATTTTATTATTAACATAAAAAACTTTATTATATTCTACTTGTATAAAGAACAATAGGTTGGACTTTATCCTGCCAAAACCAGCCCAAACAAGAGCAGACCAGGCAACACTACACTACACTACACTACACAACACAACACTACACTACACTACACTACACTACACTACACTACACTACACTACACTACACTACACTACACTACACTACACTACACTACACTACACTACACTACACTACACTACACTACACTACACTACACTACACTACACTACACTACACTACACTACACTACACTACACTACACTACACTACACTACACTACACTACACTACACTACACTACACTACACTACACTACACTACACTACACTACACTACACTACACTACACTACACTACACTACACTACACTACACTACACTACACTACACTACACTACACTACACTACACTACACTACACTACACTACACTACACTACACTACACTACACTACACTACACTACACTACGCTACACCACACCACACAACAATAATTGTTTCTTATTTATATGCTACGAACCTCTTTTCAATGACCGTTTTTAATTTTTCATTTTCATCTTGAAGGTATTTGAATGATATGTTACAATCTTCTAATTTGCTCGTAAGATTCTCTATCTTTCTGTGTAGTTTTTCTATGGTTTTATTTAATGACATAATTATTTCTGTCTGAGATTGCATTTCATCCGCTCTTTTCAAATCACTTTGTTGTTCTTCTAATTGTTTGCTAAGGTCTTTTATACGGTCGGAGTCTTCCGACTTAGAACGTTTGTCTTTTTCATATTCATCTATTTTAATTTTCATTGATGCCGCTTCTTGTTTTGCTTCACGTATTTCATTTATTAGCTTTGAAATGCTATTTTCCTGATCTTTTATTCGCTTTGACATTTCATTTTTCTCCTCCTTGATGTTTTTTAATTTTGATTTTAATGTAGCGATTTTATTTCTAATAGCTTGCTCCTCATTTTGTTTTTCATCGTTTTTAGCGGAATCTTCCTCAGCTTTTTTCTTTATAATCTTTATTTCTTGGATGTGTGTTTGTATTTCCTCGCATTTTTGTTTTAGTTGTAATCGAAGTTCCGCCTCGGTTTTATTAGATTTCCATTGTTCCTTTTTAATTTTCTCATTTTCTTCAATGATATTCCTTTCAGATTCTTTGGCCTTGGCAGCAGTTTCGTTGGCCATTTCTAGTTGCTTTTCAAGTTGTCGTAGTTTAGATTCTGTTGTTTCCTTTTTCGTCGTCTCAAACAACGTGGCAGACTCAATCTCTTTTTCTTTCTTCTCCAGTCCTTTAAGCAAATCTTGTTTTAATTTATTAATAAATTCTTCGATGACTTTTGTTTCTTCCAATTGTATATTAGTGTCCTTTAATTTTCGGTTTATTTTTTCTTGCAAATGTTTGGCTAAATGAACAATAATTTCTAAATTAAACATTGTTCTATCATTATCTAAATGCTTTGCCTTAACGTAGTCATCTAGCAGTCTTTGTTTTGAATGAAGTATTTTCTCTCTTAAGCGAGGTATTTTCAGCTCTACTACAATTGATAGCCGTGATTGAGACGCACTTTGAAAATCATTTAGAGTGTACGGATTAACATTTAACAGATCTATTGCATTTATCAGCTGATCAGTTACAAGTGTTCTTGAGTTTTCTTCTCTGTTGTAGTTGTCGAATAAAATAATTCTATCACAGCAATCCTGTAAAATTGTTTCAAATATACCAGTTTGTTTTTTACTCCATTCTTCAAAAGTTTTGATATTCATACTCTCTCTTTGAATGTGAAAATTGTCACCATATGTCATTATTACAATACAATACTTTGAGTAAACGTTTTCTCCAAATATCGCCTTTATAAATCTGAATATCGTTTTATCTTCTTCTGATAACCGACTCCCAAATTTTAAAATAAGTAAAACAGCATGATAACCATTGGGACAAATGTCAATCGATTTTGTTAATTGTTCAATTAAACGGATCCTTGCCATTTTAGTTTTTGTTTCAGCTATACCAGGTATGTCGATGACATTTAGTTTTCGATCCATATATTTCTGTGTACCGATTGAGCCTTGATAAGTGTTGATTTCGTTGCTTGATAATTGAGAAGTGGTTTTGCAATCTTTCTTTTTCCAAAAAATTGTGTTTGCTACTGATGTTATGCCATTTACAGATTTTCCAATCAGAAGAATATTTAAATCTTTTGAGTACTAAAATATTGTATCCAAAATAGAAAATTAATAGTTGTATTGGAAAATAAAATTACAAAATTGTTTTATGTCATTAGTGGTGGAACAAGGTAAAAAGGCTTTCCCGCTAAATATTTTAAGGACCATACCTATATTATATAAGTATATAATATTGTATGTATAACATGTTATATCTTTATAATTATATATATATATATATATATATATATATATATATATATATATATATATATATATATATATATATATATATATATATATATATATATATATACTTATAACTTGGCGGTCAACACACTTTAAAAAATTAGAAAATTACAAATAACTTTCTACGAAATAAAGTTGTTGACAATATTTCGGCCCACTAATGGATCTAACAATACCTCTCGGCTAAACTTTTATTAAGCCATTGTATGAGACCCCATATCGGCTTTTCAAATGGTAGCAATACGTCACTAAAGTAATTACACTAGTTTTGCTGATCTTTAAATTGAAATTTATGTTGCAATTTTTTATTTATTTATGCAAGAGCCTGGTATTGCAAATGTAGAATTTTTTTTTAAATTAGCCACAATGCAAGAGCAAAATTGCAAGTACAATAAAATTGTAATATAAATAAATGTGTCTTAATTATTGACAGATGTGCATCAACTAAACAATCTGTCTCACACCCCCACCCCCTGTACATAAACACCTCGTTGAGGGCTATGTCTAAGTTGTACTTCCGCCCACATTAATGCCAAACAGTTAAAAATCAAATATTGTTATCTAGCTTAGCAAAAAATTAATTTAGTTTAATCATGATAGTTTAAAGCTTACTTTAATTGATGTAAAAACAATTTTTTTACTGACCTTTTCAGAAGAAACTAAAAATTCAGCCATTTTCTTGTCTCAGCTCAGATCTATGTTGTTAAGCTATAAAAAAATAAATAAGTAAGAGTATATATATATATATACATACATATATATATATATATATATATATATATATATATATATATATATATATATATATATATATATATATATATATATATAATGCAATGTATGTGTGTCTGTGTGTTTGTGTGTTTGTCTTTTATGCATTACTACACCTCTCATCACACCGCCGTGAAAGAAGGAAGATGTTGAGAATATTCCTTGGGAGGTTTCTGCGAAAAAAAATTTCAAATTCGCAGGGCTGGCGCCTCAGGCGGCGCGATTTGTTATTTTTCTCTATATACGGTATACAAAAATAAAAGTCGATTTCCATCAAACTTTGGTGAGTTCATAAGAACACTCTGGGGAAGGGTTGTGTAGAAAATCATTTTTAATTTCGCAAGGGCGGCGCCACGGGAAGGTGCGATATTTCTCTTAATACGGTATATTAAAATAATAAAAGTGAATTGCTGTGACACTGTTCACACGATCGCCTGCAGTGTTTCTTCCAGACTTTTTTCTCAGTGGGGGGGGGGGGGCACTGGAAATTTGCGGGGCGGCGGCTGACACTGTTAAAAGTATATATTTTCTATATATAAATATATAAATTCCATTTCGTTCCGGGGGGGGGGAGACTTTCTTCAGGGGGCATAGACCTCCCGAAGAGTTGCCTGGAAGATCGCCTGAAGCTTCGGGAAGTTACTAAGAATATTTCTGGGGGGGGGGGGGGGGGGGAGGTATCTGCTCTAAAAACATTTTCAAATTCGCATGAGTGGCGCCCCGGTGGGCGCGATTTGTTTTCTCTCTATTATGGTATATAAAAATAAAAGTCGATTTCGGTCTCACAACGTAGGCCTACATCCGAAAGCCATCACACTTTGGGTAGTTGATTAGAACACTCCAGTGAAAGGTTCTGTAAAAAACTACTCCTGAGAAGGTTTCTGGGATGGGAGGGGGGTGGTGGTGGGTGGATGGTGGAGGAGGGGGATTTAAATTTGCATGTGCGGCTCCCCGGCAGGATGCGATTTGGCACTTGATCTTTCTCGTGAGCGCTATGGCGACTAAGTTCGGTCTAAACAGTGTAATAGACAATGGATAGAATGGGGCGTTACAAACGCTCACTAAATTGAATAAGGCGTGTCCTCTGGCGCCCTGGTAGGGTGTGATTAGGCTGCAAATAAAAATGTCTGAGGGCCATGTAATACGTTTTATTTTAATAATCAGAACAATTAAACAAGGTTAGATCATTAACTGGGATGTTTCTTTTTGGCCGTAAAAAAATCCAAACAGTTTCGTCAATTTGCTAATGATGCAATAAGCATCTATTTTTAGATAATTCAATCAGAAATTGAGATCGAGCATCTAATAATAGACCATTAGTAACGCTAACATATTACATCAGTCACACTGATGTTTAAAACACGTCAAATATATTTTTTACGTGTTGAAAAAAAAATCCTGTTCATTTGTGTCACTATAGCGAGTGACGCAATCTGCATCATTGTTAACAGGATGCTATTTGGCACGATGGCGCCTGTTAGTTTTAAGGAGAAAGGCTATTTGGTAGTGTAACCGAGGGGGGGGGGCTGCTGAGAGCGTCCCTCTACGTCATGGACGGGCGGCCACCGAAGTGTGATCTACCATTTCATTTTGTTGAGTGATTAATGTACACTCAAAGATTTCATGCGGTAGTGTAGGTAAACCGGTGTCCCAATATTTATGATCTAAGCGCAGGCATTGTTTACATTTACTTAACTCACTTTTTTAAAAAATTAGGTCACGCGTGTAAGAGTATAAGATCGGTAACGCATGGATGAAACGCTTCTTGTATATTTGTCTGATTTTCTTCTGTATCCACGGCATATATAAACTGACTATTTCATTCCCTATCGCTCAAATTAAAACTATTTTTAATGATTTAGCGAAAAAAATTATTCACGAGTATACTCTATCGTTTTCAAAAGATATGTGTTAATAGTTAGAAAATTATAGCGATTTTTTAGTATTTCACAGCTTATATTTTTCTTCTGCACGTACAAAAATGGTTTTTGTATTCCGACAAAAGTTTAGCAATTGCCAACTATCTGCTAATTGTTTTCGAAGTAAAAAGTACCACCCGGGTTGTACTGTAGTGCAAGAATCTCAGTCACATACACATACAAATACACATACACATACACATACGCATGCGCATACGCATGCGCATACACATACGCATACGCCTACGCCTACGCCTACGCCTACGCCTACGCCTACGCCTACGCCTACGCCTACGCATACGCAAACGCATACGCATACGCATACGCATACGCATACGCATACGCATACGCATACGCATACGCATACGCATACGCATACGCATACGCATACGCATACGCATACGCATACGCATACGCATACGCATACGCATACGCATACGCATACGCATACACCTTCGTATACGTACACTTATACGTATGAGTATATGCATATATAGGAATAAGAAAAGAATAACTCGAAAATAACATTGCCTGTTTGTAAAAGTGAAATACCAATAAAATAAATTTTATTAATACTGACAAGACATAGTTGCTTTACCTGTTAATCCTGTAAGTTGATCTAAATAAATTATGATTCCTCACACTATTTATGTGTTACTCTACAGAAGTAAACTTTGGCCTACATTTTCACGACTAGCTGGCTGTGTTTAAACGGTGGGTGCTATTAATCTTGTTAGAGCCAATAGGAAAAGAGATCAGATCTATGAACTGCGGATGAATGCAATAGAGGTGTACTGCTGAATGTTGCCTAAATTATGGGACACTGAACTACATTACAAAATAAAGATTAATATAAATTAAAATCTAAAATTTGTTCGCGGTTTGAAAATGAGAATTCATCATATTTGAATTTTATTTTAAAGCTTAAAATAAATGTGCCCTCAAAGATTGAATAATAAAAGTGACTATTAACCTTCTGAAATTCAACCATCGTAAAACAGCAATTAAATTTTAACTGACAAATAGTATGATATCATCATCTTCTTCTTTCCCGTCTGTGAACAGAACACTCAGTGCCGTCATGAGAGGTTCTTTTCTTCTTTTCACTTCTCTCGTTTTAGCGCGTTTTCGTTACATAATTGGTAAAACTAAAGTAACGTATGCATCCACAGGTGCAGGTTTGGGTATAATTACAGGAATTGGTAAGATATATGAAATAGCGGGATACGGGACATATTCCCCCCCCCCCCTCTGTCAATTAGCCCGGACATCCCCCCCAGTTTTTAGCCTCCTGCGAATTACCCCCCCCCCCTAGTAATTGATAGGTGAGTGATTTCTCCGGGGGGGGGGGGTAATGTCGGGAGTTAATGCCCTGTTTCCAAAATAGCAATAGGGAGAACGAAATTAATTGTTTATTGGACTTAAAATGTAATATTTTAGGAATGGTTTGAAATTTTACGAAGAGATTAATTTTCAAGATGGCCGCCGTTGTCATAGGTACCAAACAAAATTTACCAATTTTTTTTTTTTTTTGTGGAAATGCGTGTTCGGATGCACCTTAACAAAGCTGTAGAGAAAAAAATGTTGGCTCTCTAGTATTTAAAAAGAAAGTTTTTTTTTTTAACCGGAGCCTACCCCTTTAAATTGACTAGTTTTTTCACTTTTCTCTTCTAGATGTCCATAATTGTTTTGACATATTGC